GCCAAAGCTGCAGATCGGGATTTTTCCCCTCATATGCTTCCTCTATTGATCCTTCCCATCTCACTGTTAATTCTATAAAATAAACTATACGTTTGACTTCTGACCACAAACCATATCAGGTCTCAAATTACTTACAGCTATTTCTCTTGGGACCACCAGCCCAGTACTGAGGCCTGCAGTGAGTTTCCAGCCACTCGCCACACTAACCCTAACCCCCACCTGCTTAGACAGGCCTGCAGGGCTGCTGTTCCCTCCTGCCTTAACAAAAGGCTGTCTAATAACTTTTACCTCTTTCTGAGCTTTAACAGCCTTTCCTTAACAGCCTCTAACTCAGAAGCAAAACACACCAAACCCTTATTGTGCCTCCATGTGTATCTGCCTTGACTCTGACTGACAGCACATCCTGATAGGATCTGCCTCAGCCATACAAGTACATGGAGTATGTATGACCCCACGGTAAATGATGATAAACACAAACCCTATATACAGACGTACAGGTCTGACAAACTATCAATGATACATGAACCAAGGAGGACAGTAGGCCAGCCTGGTCCCAGCTGACCACAGGGGTGGCTGACGGGGGAGGGGGGGACTTACGCTGCTCCTCCATTGCAGTTCTTATTCAGCCCATCTGACCAAGAGCAGCTCACCACTGCAGGGACACAAAGAGGGGGTTCAAACTGTTAGGTGACAGAAACAGACCTGGTACTGGAGCAAAGAACGTGTGACCAAAGGTACATTAATCCTCCTCCATCATCAATCCATCCAGAAGAGTGGAAACGGAAGTGCGGTCCTGTACTCACCCTGGCAGGGTAGGCTGGCCCTGCGGTGGATCCTGTGCATTACGATCATCTCCATGGTTAGGTCCTGGCGATCACAGACTTCATTGAGGAATTTCAACTGCTCCAGGGGGGGGGGGCAGAACAACAACCTCATCAGCAGGGGTCACTGTATGTTTGTTACAGTCACCAAAACAGCCTTCATGCTCTCTATGCTGTGCATTCTGGGCTTGAGCCTGTGAACCTCAGCTGTGTTTCTCCATCATAATCAGACCGGTTTCTGTGCGGCTGGAAAAGCTCGATATCTGAAGCGCCACTCAAAGCCCTTTCCCTCGAGTCCCCATCTGAACGTGGTCTGGGGCCCCTGCTGGTTTGGG